TGCCATTTCGAATATCCGACCAATGGCCACGAACCCGCCGAATCCCCCGCCGTCGTTTCTATTGGGCCTCCTAGGCTATCGGAAGAACGGTGTGTTGTCGTCCCCAGCTCCGTCCGAGGAGAGCGTAGGCGAGGCTCTGGAGTTTTGCGAGACGCTCGCGAGCGCGCTCACCGACGAGAATGTGCAGTTTGCTCATAGCCATTGGGAACAAGCTATAAAAGAGTTGGATTCAACCGCTTCGGCTCTCCTCTCGCTGGACGGTGAAAACGAACGTAAGATGACTCGTTGGACGAGGTCCGAGGATGCAGAAACAACCGTATCACCACCAGAATTTATGGATAAAGTCTCCAACACGGCGTATCTGGTCCTGGCTCACCCTCCCGTATCCATAACACCCAAGCTACTCAAGCAATACGTCAAAATCCAAGCCAAGCTGAAGAGGCCAGAGACTCTACCAAAAGTGTTTCAGTTGTACGCCTCTAAGCCTGTGCTGGTCAAGGACTCTGTTCCACCAAGCTACACCCGACCGAACCCAGATCGGGCTGCCAATGCTATCGAATCTGAGACAATCGAATTGGCACTGGACACGGCCATCGGTGCCAAGAATCTGGATGCCGCCGTCGGAATCATTGAAAACAGCTATGGCACTACAGCATTTGTCCGGGGCAAGCTTCTTCGTCACGGTCTGTTGCCTGCCACTGCGTTTGCGGCCACGCCTGTGGCTGCTTACGCCTTGGCGGTCAACTTCTCGGGGATACAGCAGGCAATGGATACCGCCATGGCGACAAATGTGGCGTTTGCTGGGATACTCGCATACGTCGGGTTCACAGCCTCGATTGGCATTGTCGCACTAACAACGGCAAATGACCAGATGAAGCGGGTGACGTGGGCCCCAGGCCAGCCCTTACGCAAGCGCTGGATCAGAGAGGAGGAGAGAGCGGCACTAGATAAGATAGCATGTGCGTGGGGTTTCCAAGAGCCATGGCGTCAGGGTGAGGAAGAAGGCGGTGACTGGGAGGCTCTCCGCGAGTACATTCTCCAGAAGGGGATGATGCTGGATCGCACCGAATTACTCGAGGGAATGGACTAAAAGTTGAAAAGTTGTGGTTCCCGTACCCACGAAATTACCTCAAACGGTTTAAAACGGTCTAAAAGCGGAACTATCTGAGCGTTGTCTACGAGTACGTGTAGGATAAGACTAGGTATTCTTCTTGGATTTCTTTTTTTTTGGGCGGCGGACTGAGGTCCGGTCACGCGCTAACACAATTGTCTTTTACAACCGTCTCTACCCAACCTGCCCTCCTGCCCGACGAACTGGGTAAAACCAAGATAAAGGCGGTGTTGGGAGTACGTTGCCAAGCAGAGTCAGCGCCGAAACTTAAATATGTACTGTACGTTACCATGGTTCACATTTATTGCCGCCAAGGTTTGATAACGGCATATGCTCAGCTCCGCCACAGCTGCCAAGCAAGTTAACCGGCGAGCCTCATGAATTGAACTATCTAGCGTGTGCCGATCCCTGTGTTTTCTGGCCAAGCTCGCTTGTGCACGCTGACAGGTTCTGTCTCTAGCTAGGTACATATTCCACTGCCGTGATTTGGTTGGAATTACTAGCAATTACGAGTACCACCGTTTTGGTACCTATCTATCAAGATTCGGCTCCCGTCTGGGCTCCCGACTCCTATCATTAGTAGCCGCATCTACAACTACCTAACCTACCAGCTCATGGTCATGTCAGCCGCCTTAACATTCGGCCACCATCTTGGTATCTAGCAACGCAGAGAAACGAGATGTGTATGTCTCGAGTCTGCTTCTCTTGATGTCATGGGGTACCGAAGTTCTCTCGGGCCAAGAATCCAGGTATTGGTATTGGCGTCACTCTTGAGTGACAGCGGGGTGGGACTTGTCGAACCGGCAAGATCCCTGACACAAATGTCTGGGCATATTTCCTATCCTCAGCTTATGATCCCTTTACCACGTCCTTGGGTCTTGGGCTCGAACCGAATTCGAGCCCGACATGTACCCTATTAATATCCTGTCGAAGAGCCAATCTTAAAATCAGAGATGCAGATTTGACAGATCCAGAGTCATTTTGGTTGCCTGGGCACGCACAGTTTCCTTTCATCTTGTACTTATACCTAGCTACTCTATACATGTCTGGCTGCATCCAACACTATTTGCTACATTCTCAATAAATCACGTTGCTTCTTCCTCACTCACCCCTTTCGACTCATCCAGTCCCGTCCCGTAGCCGCTTCGAATCTTGGAATCTTGGTATCTACTGATTCCAGGAAAAGCCCAAGATGGGTGGCCAGTTCACGCCAGTCGACCCGGCGCGGTGTCCCCATTACGCCGGATTCGCTTCTCACTTGGATAGAACTCATTTCGACGCTCTGTACTGGACATTATTCTTCCTTGTGATCTTGGCCTTGTTCAGTGCCTCGTGGGTATTCCAATGGTACGTCAAATCTATATCAGGAGCCATCCATGGGCTACCAAAGCTTAGCTAACTTCGTTTTCTTTTCTTTCGCGTCTCAGGACTATGAAATATCGTGACTGCGCGACATTCACAGTGGAAAAGTTCAGAAAGAGACTTCTAACATCATTAATATGTACTCTCGGCATTTTCTTAGTCGCAGCCGTCATGATCGTGATGGAGGTGTACGCTTTACTTGCTCTGCAGTTCTGCGACGGGGAGGATCTCATGTCGCTTTACTGGGCCACGTGGACCATGCTCCAGCTTGGGTCCGAGATTGCCATATTAGGCGTCAGTCTGGCATTGTGGCATCATCTACAGGATATGGAACATCCGTGAGTCTTCTTCCTTTTCCCCTGTCTCCGGTGTCTTTACGCACTTACTTACCCGCCATTCCCCTTCCCCCAGTCTCTGGGCCCTTGCTCTAGGTACGCCTGTCCTAGTCGTGGCTGGCTTTGGACATGTCCTCTGGTTAGTAATCCGCCGGTTCTACCTCCGCTTCAAGGGCGGACGCAAAGCGAGGTGTTATACTTGTAGCAAGGAGGCTTGTGTCGAAAGTCGGGATATCTCTTCTTCAAGGTAAGCAAAGCATAATATGTGACCTGTCCTGTCTCGAAGAAAGGAACAAAATGCTGACAGGTGACAATAAAAAAGATGTAGTACAAGCGTCGAGAAAACCCAAGAAGAAGAAGACGAAGAACAACAACAACAAGAAAAGTTGTACGAATTCGAGACGGGACGAACCATGTATCTGGCCATGGACACCGGAAACGACGAACGAGTCCGTCAGTGGCCTTGTTTCATGTACATGGCTGATGGGAAAGCCGTTGTAAGAGTTACGACTGTGTCGGGTCCGGGTCCGTCGATGACGAGACAGGAGTCTTCTGAAACGCTCTCTGGATAAAAAGGGACCAAAAGAAAGATGACGCGGCCAACGACGGCTCCGTTTCCCTTCTACAGGACGTCCGGTTTCCCTAAAAGACGGGGTGGAAGAAAGCCTTCAACGAAGGGGGAAATACTACTTTTGGGTATGTATATCTCCTAATCATTCTCCTGAATAAGTAGGGCACGGTGTTGATCTAACTAGGTCTCCTGATTTAGGTTGGTCATGATGAGACCAAGACTTGTATGCCGAAATTCATGGGGCTCTAGCACAGGACTTAGGTGGATAGTTGGTTAGGGGTAGGGAAAATGGCGGGCAGGAAAGGGGAAAACTATTTATTCTTTCTTCTTTGGTCTGGTGAGAGTACTGGGTATCTACAGGTTTCTCTTCGGGATAAGGCGCATTTATTGGAATTTTTGCTTTAGGACGGAACCTCATAGCGGAGATGGATATATACCCTACATGTAGGCTTCAGGGCCAAAGCGAGTGGGTTTGATTTTGGATGGCGGGAGGCGTTTAGGAAAGATAGTCACTCTTGCTCCTACTTTATATCTAACCTAATATTCCAAATAACATCTTAACTCGACTTTCTAAGTATAATAATCTCACGTACGTATACCTTTTCATCTATTCATCATTATACACGTACACACAAATTGATCGATATTGACTTCTCCTACTTGTATAGTACGTCAGATAATAAATGACATGTATCCTCCTCTATCACATCTTAAGCGCTCTTCTCATCACACCCCTCCCACTTGCAATGCAAGTACTTTTGTCCAGTCTGATACATCACACACGTACTATTAAAGGCCAAGGAACGCCAATAAGCACCAAGCAAAAATGTCTAAAGTGCCGTGCCGTCTTATGTATATCCTTTTCTTGGCCAGACAAAAAAACGCCGTCTTACGAGTACATGGACATAAGGGTACCGATCTACATACCTACGTGTTTCATGTGCGTGTAGGTCTTTTCTTTCTTCCTTCTTCTTCCTCTCCTTCTTTCTTCATCACACACACTCTCTCTCTCTCTCTCTCTGTTACACGTAAATTTAACATTACGAGTACCTACCTCCTTCGTAGGTCAGTGAACTATTCTAGATACTTACCTAATCCGTACCTACCAAGAACCGACCTAAACTACAAACAGTTCCAGATCCCTACCCGGCCAAGACTTACCGGGGAGCCGGATAAGCTAAGCTAAGCGGCCCGCTTATATAAATAAGAAAAAGAAAAAAAGCCAAGTCTAGAAACCTGTCATGTGCTTACATAGGTACTCGTAGTACAAAACGAAATGTCTTTGCAAAGAAATGAACGTTGTTGAACACGTGCTAACCTTAGGTACCTACCTGACGTTACCATCCTTTCCCCCCCTTTCCCCAATGTTTATGCAGAAGAGGACTTGTAGTTACATATTTCCCGTTGTACCTAGTTCCTGTCTCTTTCAACTTTCCATCCACCCCTCACACTGTCACTACCTAACTTACCTTACTCACCTGTCTAAACTTCACATTGAGCACTCCTACACATTAGACATACCTTAGCTGCTAGGAAGCACTATAAACACCAATTCCAGCCCCGTCTCCCAACATTCGGTCAGTCAGTCAGTCAACCAATCAAATTGCATGGTTTCACAAACGGTTGTATAGTATAGTGGTTAGTACGGCTCGTTGTGGTCAACGAGGAATACCGAGCAGACTCAGGTTCGATTCCTGATACAGCCATACAAATTCTCTTTTTTTGTTGTTTTGTTTATTTTATCAGATTTGACTTTATCACTACAGACTGTGATTTCTTTTATTACTGTAACGGTCTTACCTAATCCGGGGCCGGAATGGTATTACATACGAGAAGTGAAGTCGTCCGGGCCTTTGTATTTGCTTACAAGGGGGAAAATGTCAAGCTGTGTCTTATATTGAGTCACCGTCTTGATTTTCGGTTTTGTCTCGTGTTCCCTTTTTTTTCTTCCCATTGGGAACTCTTACCCTGTAGATTTCATGCTTTGGGGGATGCAAGTAGATATATGTGATTAGTCGCATCCCATGTATTTTTTGAATCATTCACGTTACTGCCGAGGCAAAGATACAATCATCCGTTTTGACGTTAGGGCCTTGCTTAACTTGGAAGAGAATTATACGCGTAGAGTGTAAATCCAAACCAACAAGATATCTTCAACATGAAAACCGAGGTCTGTCCCGGCCTGCCTTTTCACGCCACGCGATTGGGACGGGAGCACACCACAGAAATTCGTCATATCCTGATGACGACGCGAAAGGACTTTCGTTTTATAAGAACCTTTATTTTATTTTATTTTACTTTCAATTCATGCACTGCTCTGCTTGCTATACCCTTCCAGCTCGGCCGACTTGCAATATCTCTCCGGTCCGCTGCTCATCGCTTCGTAGGACCGGCCAGCTCGCGCCGTCCGCCTTATACAGGCTGACCTCGAGCTTGGTTCCGAGGACTTTAAAGGTGGACTTCTCCGCGTCAATGGTGCCGAAGAGGGGTACGGATGTTCGGTAACGCTTGGGCGCTGGCTCGTTTGTAGGCAGGTCGAGATCTAGCGTCCTCGAGTCGAATTTCACCTTGGCTCTTGCCGGGTCTATCTTTTTGAGGAAAAACGAAACAATGACGGTCGTCGGTGTTTGGTAGAAATCGTGACGCACAGTCTCCAGCAGCTCTTCACCATCGTCGGCAGCTTCCCCGCCCTTCTTCTTCTTGTCCTGTCCTGAGCCAACGAATAAGTGACGTGGCGACGTCTTGCAGCCCTCTATCTTCATGAACTGGTCAAACTCCAACACGCGCCGCTTGCAGCAGCTGTAGCCCTTGCTACCCTCGTGGAATATGGGCGCGCCCGGGTGATGCACGCATTGCTCGTTGTCAGATCGCGTCTGCCCCTTCTTATACGTGGCACCGCAGCCTTTCCGCCTGCATAACTTGCCGTCGGGAATTTCGAGCGAGGGCTCGTCGTCCTCGGACTCTGGCGGCGGCGGCGGCGCTGTCGGCGCAGGCTGCGGGGCAAGAGGGGCAACGGGGGCACGGGTAGGTGCTGCGGCGGCAGCGGCCGAGACAGCTTCGGCTAGCTTATCGGATAGTGACTGATTGGTTGGCTGTTCTTTCTTTTCGATCTCGGGCGGGAAGTCGGTGGTGCTGTGTGTGCCCTCTGTGCAAGGGGGGATCTCCAGGAACTCGTCGAACGTCAACACACGAGGTTTGCAGCATTTCCAGCCTACCCAGGTGACTCGGAAGTCAGCCACGTGTTTTGTTCACCATGAGTCTGCGTGCGGGACACATGAACATAACTCGAAAAAGTGCTAGCTCAGACTGGTTCCTCACCTTTCTGCCCCTCATGGAAAACGGGCGGGCCAGGATGGTACTTGCAGACCTCATTTGGGTCCGTGAATTCCTTGCCGCACCCTTTATGTACACATGTCTGAGCCATGGCTATGCGATTTCCTGAAAATTGGTGATGTTGGTTGGTATTGTTTGCTTTCTGGGGGATGTCTAGAACGGGTGGGATGGCGGGGTTCTGTTAGCTTTGTAGATCAAGGTCGAGGCGTACCACGATAGGTACACGTACCCAGTCGTACCTGTAATGATCTCCGTATCGTCGTCAAACCTCCCGAAATCTTGTCTTGCCCTATCAAAATAAAGGAGGAGCTGCAGGGGACTAACATACAGGTATATATTCCACGCGGGATGGAAGAACAAATAGGTCAACTTTGAAAGTCGTGTTAGGTCTCGATACTGTCAAGTTACCAAACATTTCCACCGCTTACCTGTTTTGGCAACTTTTCTTGAGAAGGGCGGGAGCTATGACGCAAATGCCTTCATATGAAGTACTTGGGTACCTAGCTCCAAATAAGACCCTTGCACTATTTACTTTGGGTGTTTCCATATACTAAGTTAGCCTAGTCCATTGCAGTTAAATACGTGTAGGTACTCATTGTGCCCGAGATGGGATAAGCGCGACCAAAATAGTTTAACCTAGGTTGTCAAAGCCCCCGAAATTATGTAAAGAGCTCTAGCAAATGAAACTACCTCTCAAAGTCGGTATAATTCAGGATTCAGTTGATACGTGTAAGAAGTCGCGTGTCTTATACCTTATACATCAAAGACCAATAGAGAAAAGAATATAAAAATGCGCTCAACCATTCGACTCTTACAACAAGCACAAGCCTGCAGAATCACCCTCTTTACAAGGGAGAATTGCGGTCTCTGCTCCGACGCTCGGTCCATCTTGTCCGACGTCTGGGACTCGCGACCTTTTGAATATAAAGAAGTCGATATTGTCAAGTCCGAGACGGGTCCACAATGGCGTGATCTCTACGATTTTGATGTTCCCGTGGTAAGCAAAAGGTTACAGGCTTCATTCATGATGAAAATACTGATTTACCCAAAAAAAAAGATCCATATCAGTAAATCATCTGCTCCTGAAGAGAGGCCGCAGACCGTGTCAGAAGCTGTGCGACTGATGCATCGGTTCACCCCTGATCAGGTCAAGGCTAAGATGGACGAGGTCGAGGACAAGAAGCAGGCGTGAACCTTTAAAAAAGTAAATTTGGATACCAAGTCTCTACCTAATACCTCCCCCCAGCCTTCGGCGCCTCTTGTCCATGAGCCGTAGCAATCGCTTTCTCCAACGTACTCTGCAGAAGCGTAGTATCGAGCGCAGCATTAATCATATGAAAGCCCTTGTCGGCATATTTCCTCGCCTGGTCAGCACTACTGGCGAAGAAACCGGCCTTCTTCCCGGCCTTGTTCGTAGCGGCCAGGACTCTATCGACAGCCTGTTCGAGCTCGGGCCTCATGACGCCGTCGAGGATGGGATAGCCGATGTTATTCCCCAGATCGAAAGGGCCGACGAACAAGACGTCGATGCCGGGAACGGCGGCGATCTCGTCTACGGCGTCCAGGGCCTCCTGCGTCTCGATCTGCACGATTGTGAGGAGCGACTCGTTGGCTCGCTGTAGATATTCCGTCATGGTCGGGATGGGACTGAAGCGCTCCATTGCAAAGGGCGAGCCTAGGCCGCGCTGGCCTTGGGGTGGGAATTTGGCTGCTGCTACGATCTTTTTGGCTTCCTCCGCCGAGCGCAGGAGGGGAATTAGGACCTGCCCATCTTGAAGTTAGAATTCGTTTTTAAGAAAAGATTTCACCAAAAGACAACTTTCTATTGTTTTGTTGTCTCAACTCACTCCATGTGCTCCCGCATCAAGTGCCCCTACAAGTGACCAGTTAGTAAAAAGACCCATTATACCAAAAGTCAACCATCCATTATAAAACCACTCGCGTATATATATAAAAAAAAAACCGGAAGCACCAACGTTTAATCATCCACCCTTGCATATCCGGCAACCTCACAATCGGACTAACACCACAACTCGCAATAGCCGGCACAGCCTCATGCATAGCGGCATCATCGATATTGCCGTGTTCGCAATCAACCAGCACCCAATCGACGCCCGGCGTCCGAGCCAACACCCTCGATACATTGCCGCCGGGCAGAGTCTGCCATACGCCCATGCTGGCCCTCTCGTTTTTGGCGAGGGCCGTTTTCAACGTACATCCTTGTAGCATGTTTCTTTTCGGTTGACGGATGCTCAAAGAAGATTGTCTTCGGAGGGGGAAGCAGTTGTTACTAATATTTGAAATCCGACGGAGGAAAAACTGCATTCGCTCTTTAATATTAAGACTATATGCTAAACACCGGTAGGGAAACCTCGGCCAGAACAGCTGTGTGGGGTTTGGAGTTCTTCGGGAACGGGTACGTGTAATATGTACAACAATGTCTATAGGCCGGCGTATACATACGTGATACAGGCTACCGTTACCCCGGATCGTGCGGGGTACTTACCCCGACTACCGGGACGCTTCATTTAGCCACCTCCAACTTCTAGATAGATGCGCATTGATTTTTCTTGTATTGAGGTGGTACTGGGTTTTGCAGGCCTAAGAAAAATCGTTTCAACTTATTATGCTGTGGGCGTGTATCTGTAATCTAGCAGTCCGTAATTAATGTATGAGACGAGCCGCTTTCAAGGCCAAATCGCACTTTTCGCCAAAGGTAGCAAGTCCAACAGAGGCATCTGTCGTGGCGGCCTTGTATATAAAACCGTTGAGATATATGGGTGGGACTTTGTTAAGCACAGGACTAGCCTGTGTCCTGGCTATTTTTTCTTTATAAGATATCTTGCGGCCAAACCCTGTCTAGCAAGGCCATTTCTCGCCCCTGGAGGGTTTTCTAGGAACTTATAGTATGGTCGCTGTCTATGGTTATCTAAGATATCGCCCCGATTGGATGGCTATCAGAGCAAATACCTCCGTGGGGGAATGAAGTGTTCCGTGCCGCGCTATCTCTAAGTATATGATCCGTGGACAATGGTTCCGCGGTTGTTTTGATAGCATGTTGTATCCGTGTAACTGCCCTCGTGTAAGACGACCGATGAATGAGGAACTGGCCTTGCCTTAATGGCATTTTAGACAATGAACCCTTAAAAGGCATAGTTCGTATCATACCGCTCGTTTATACCACCATGCTTCAAAGGGAAGCGGCCTTAGTAGTCGGATGATTTCTGTCGATAGTAACGCCTCAGATGTGAGTGTAAAGCATTTCTAACCGCGCCAGACAGGTGGCCGACACAGCCGATTGAACCAAATATAAATACAGCGATCAGTCAACCGGCAATATTTCCAACCCTTCGGGGAGTAATACTGTAGCATT